TGCCTTAAATCCTTTTAAATTTATCGAGACTTGTTTTATGGCCCAGAAAATGGTTTATCTTGGTAAGCTGTTCTGAGTGCACTTGAAAAGAATGCATATTTCACTGCTGCTGGGTAGAAAAAACCAAAACCAAACTCACTGCCGTCGAGTTGGACCCGACTCATAGCGACCCCTCCTTGGGTTTCTGAGGTAGTATCACTACGGAAGTAGATTGCCCAACCTTCCTTCTGAGGAGTGCCTGGTGGGTCTGAACCACCAGCCTTCTGGTTAGCAGTCAAATGCCTTAGGCACTATGCCACTAGAGCTCCCACTGTTGGGAGTGTTCTATAAATGTCAATTAAATCAAGTTAGTTGAGTGTTGTTCAACTCTTCTATTATACTAGATGATTTTCTCTCTATACAGTCTATTAATTACGGAAAGGGGTATTAAAAGCTTGGACTATTAATGAGGATCCTTACAGGTTTATCAATTTTTGCTTCATATATTTTGAAGCTGTGTTATGAAGGAGAAATATTTAGTATTTTTATGCCTTCTTAGTTATGTTATATCTTTAACATTATTTATCCTTGGTAATAGTTTTCTACTATTTATGCATCACTTTTCCATTGTTTTTGTAATTATTTTGTGTCTCTATACAATGGGTTTCTTGTAGGTAGCAAGCATACAGTCAGTTCTTACTTTTTTATTCAATCTGACTTTTAATTGGGGTGTTTAGACTATTTACATTTAATGTGATTATTGATATTGTTGGGTTTTAATCTATCATCTTGCTATTTATTTTCTACTTGCCCCATCTCTTCTTTTTTCCCTGCAATTTTGGACTGATTTTCATGATTCCATTTTACATCCTTTCTCAGTTTATCAGGAACAATTGTTCATTTTATTAATTTTTTTTTGCATGACAAATGAGCATTTCTCTATTCTTTTAAAACATATTTTACAGTGTTTTAAGTGAAAGTTTAAACAGCAAACTAGGTTCCCATTTAACAGTTTTTATACAAATTGTTCTGTAACATTGGTTATATTTTCACAATGTGTCAGCATTCTCATTAATTCCTTTCTATTTGTTCTGTTTCCATTAATCTAGCTTCCCTGCCCTTCTTTTCTTTAACAAGTTTGCTTCAGGGTTAATGTTGGCTGTTTGGTCTCATACCCACTGGGGGAAAAAAAAAAAAAAAAAAAAAA